TTGAGAGTCGGGAATGCGGGGTGAGGGAGAGGAATGAGGTATGAGGGAGCGGAAGGCGGGAAGAGGGAGAGGAATGAGGAATGAGGGAGAGAAAGGCGGGATGAGAGAGTGGAATGAGGAATGAGAGAGGGGAAGGCGGGATGAGGGAGAGGAATGAGATACGAGGGAGGAGAAGGCGCGATGAGAGAGTGGAATGAGGATTGAGAGAGGGAAACGCGGGGTGAGGGAGAGGAATGAGGAATGAGGGACGAGAAGGCGGGGTGAGGAAGAGGAATGAGGAATGAGGGAGGGGAAGGCGGGATGAGGGAGAGGAATGAGGAATGAGGGAGGGGAAGGCGAGGTGAGGGAGAAAAATGAGGATTGACAGAGGAAAAGGGGGGTTTGTATGAAATAGAGTTGAATTGATTGATAAGGTAAAGAGCCCAAGGCTCTATAAATACATGGCAAGGTAAAGAAGAATGGATGAAGGGGGAATCGGAGGGAATCCCCATTGGGATCTCCGGAATCTCCAATTGGGTAATTGGAGTTGGGGGGATCACAATTGGGTGAGGTTGGGATTTGTGAGTACACCCCAACCCACTAGAACATTCATAACCTAAACTAGGATATAAAAGTACAAATACAAAAGTGGGATTTGCAATCTATTTCCAACACGGGGAAGATGTAGGCAGCGAGAACTGCGCCGCGGGGCCACCAGAGTCAGCCAACTCCTCGATCGGGACAACCGACGGGAGGGGAGTGACGTGAGACACACCAGACGGAGCAGGAGGGGGAGGGAGAGGAGCAGGTGCTACCGGGGGAGTGGGAACCAGAAACAGGGGTGGGGAAACCGGGAGACCTCGGTGGGGAAAGCGACGGTAAAAGGAGACAAACTCGTCGAAAGTGACGTTACGCGGGTGAAGGAAGCGGTGAGACGGCGGGTGGTAAAAGTGCAAGTCAGAGGAGTCAAAGGGGAAACCAAGGAAGACACAGGGGACAGTGCGGGCAGTGAGCTTGTTCGTGCTAGAGGCACGAACGTGAGCAAGGCATCCCCACATGTGGAACGCAGACGCGTTACCAGGAGACCCGGTCCAGAGGAGGGGAAGGCGGGACGAGGGAGAGGAATCAGGAATGAGGAATGAGGGAGGGGAAGGCGGGATCAGGGAGAGGAGTGAGGATTGAGAGAGGGGAAGGCGGGATGAGGGAGAGGAATGAGGAATGAGGGAGGGGAAGGCGGAATGAGGGAGAGGAATAAGGAATGAGGGAGGGGAAGGCAGGATGAGGGAGAGGAGTAAGGATAGAGAGAGGGGAAGGCGGGGTGTGGGAGAGGAATAAGGAATGAGGGAGGGGAAGGCAGGATGAGGGAGAGGAAAGTAAAACGAGTGAGGGCAAGGTGGGATGAAGGAGAGGAATGAGGAATGAGGGAGGGGAAGGCGGAATGAGGGAGAGGAATAAGGAATGAGGGAGGGGAAGGCAGGATGAGGGAGAGGAGTGAGGATTGAGAGAGGGGAAGGCGGGGTGTGGGAGAGGAATAAGGAATAAGGTAGGGGAAGGCAGGAAGAGGGAGAGGAAAGTAGAACGAGTGAGGGGAAGGTGGGATGAGGGAGAGGAATAAGGAATGAGGGAGGGGAAGGCGGGATGAGGGAGAGGAGTGAGGATTGGCGGAGGGGCAGGCGGGATGAGAGAGAGGAATGAGGAATGAGGGAGGTGAAGGCGGGATGAGGGAGAGGAGTGAGGATTGAGAGAGGGGAAGACGGGATGAGGGAGAGGAATGAGGAATGACGGAAGGGAAGGCGGGATGAGGGAGAGGAGTGAGGATTGAGAGAGGGGAAGGCTGGGTGAGGGAGAGGAATAAGGAATGAGGGAGGGGAAGGCGGAATGAGGGAGAGGAATGAGGAATGAGGGAGGGGAAGGCAGGATGAGGGAGAAGAGTGAGGATTGAGAGAGGGGAAGGCGGGGTGTGGGAGAGGAATAAGGAATGAGGGAGGGGAAGGCAGGATGAGGGAGAGGAAAGAGGAACGAGTGAGGGGAAGGCGTGATGAGGGAGAGGAATAAGGAATGAGGGAGGGGAAGGCGGGATGTGGGAGAGGAGTGAGGATTGAGAGAGGGGAAGGGCAGGGTGAGGGAGAGGAATAAGGAATGAGGGAGGGGAAGGCGGGATGAGGGAGAGGAATGAGGAATGAGGGAGGGGAAGGCGGGATGAGGGAGAGGAGTGAGGATTGGCGGAGGGGAAGGCGGGATGAGCCAGAGGAATGAGGAATGAGGGAGGGGAAGGCGGGATGAGGGGTAGAGTGAGGATTGAGAGAGGGGACGACGGGATGAGGGAGAGGAATGAGGAATGAGGGAGGGGAAGGCGGGATGAGGGAGAGGAGTGAGGATTGAGAGAGGGGAAGGCGGGGTGAGGGAGAGGAATGAGGAATGAGGGAGGGGAAGGCGGGATGAGGGAGAGGAGTGGGGATTGAGAGAGGGGAAGGCGGGGTGAGGGAGAGGAATGAGGATTGAGAGACGGGAATGCGGGGTGAGGGAGAGGAATGAGGAATGCGGGAGCGGAAGGCGGGAAGAGGGAGAGGAATGAGGAATGAGAGAGGGGAAGGCGGGATGAGGGAGTGGAATGAGGAATAAGAGAGGGGAAGGGGGGATGAGGGAGAGGAATGAGAAACGAGGGAGGAGAAGGCGGGATGAGGGAGTGGAATGAGGATTAAGAGAGGGGAACGCCGGGTGAGGGAGAGGAATGAGGAATGAGGGAGCGGAAGGCGGGAAGAGGGAGAGGAATGAGGAATGAGGGAGGGGAAGGCGGGATGAGGGAGTGGAATGAGGAATAAGAGAGGGGAAGGGGGGATGAGGAAGAGGAATGAGAAACGAGGGAGGAGAAGGCGGGATGAGGGAGTGGAATAAGGATTAAGAGAGGGGAACGCGGGGTGAGGGAGAGGAATGAGGAATGAGGGAGCGGAAGGCAGGAAGAGGGAGAGGAATGAGGAATGAGGGAGGGGAAGGCGGGATGAGGGAGTGGAATGAGGAATAAGAGAGGGGAAGGGGGGATGAGGGAGAGGAATGAGAAACGAGGGAGGAGAAGGCGGGATGAGGGAGTGGAATCAGGATTAAGAGAGGGGAAGGCGGGGTGAGGGAGAGGAATGAGAAATGAGGGAGCGGAAGGCGGGAAGAGGGAGAGGAATGAGGAATGAGGGAGGGGAAGGCGGGATGAGGGAGTGGAATGAGGAATAAGAGAGGGGAAGGGGGGATGAGGGAGAGGAATGAGAAACGAGGGAGGAGAAGGCGGGATGAGGGAGTGGAATAAGGATTAAGAGAGGGGAACGCGGGGTGAGGGAGAGGAATGAGGAATGAGGGAGGAGAAGGCGGGATGAGGGAGTGGAATGAGGAATAAGAGAGGGGAAGGGGGGATGAGGGTGAGGAATGAGAAACGAGGGAGGAGAAGGCGGGATGAGGGAGTGGAATTAGGATTAAGAGAGGGGAACGCGGGGTGAGGGAGAGGAATGAGGAATGAGGGAGCTGAAGGTGGGAAGAGGGAGAGGAAAGAGGAATGAGGGAGGGGAAGGCGGGATGAGGGAGTGGAATGAGGAATAAGAGAGGGGAAGGGGGGATGAGGGAGAGGAATGAGAAACGAGGGAGGAGAAGGCGGCATGAGGGAGTGGAATAAGGATTAAGAGAGGGGAACGCGGGGTGAGGGAGAGGAATAAGGAATGAGGGAGGAGAATGCGGGATGAGGGAGAGGAATGAGGAATGAGGGAGGGGAAGGCGGGATGAGGGTGAGGAATGAGGATTGAGAGAGGGGAAGGCAGGGTGAGGGAGAGGAATGAGGAATGAGAGAGGGGAAGGGGGGATGAAGGAGAGGAATGAGGAATGAGAGGAGGGATGGCGGGATGACGGAGAGGAAAGCGAGGAATGAGGAATGGGGGAGGGGAAGGCGGGATGAGGGAGAGGAATGGGGATTGAGAGACGGGAAGGCGGGGTGAGGAAGAGGAATGAGGAGTGAGGGAGGGGAAGGCGGGATGAGGGAGAGGAGTGAGGATTGAGAGAAGGGAAGGCGGGGTGAGGGAGAGGAATAAGGAATGAGGGAGGGGAAGGCGGGATGAGGGAGAGGAGTGAGGATTGAGAGAGGGGAAGGAGGGGTGAGGGAGAGGAATGAGGATTGAGAGTCGGGAATGCGGGGTGAGGGAGAGGAATGAGGTATGAGGGAGCGGAAGGCGGGAAGAGGGAGAGGAATGAGGAATGAGGGAGAGAAAGGCGGGATGAGAGAGTGGAATGAGGAATGAGAGAGGGGAAGGCGGCATGAGGGAGAGGAATGAGATACGAGGGAGGAGAAGGCGCGATGAGAGAGTGGAATGAGGATTGAGAGAGGGAAACGCGGGGTGAGGGAGAGGAATGAGGAATGAGGGACGAGAAGGCGGGGTGAGGAAGAGGAATGAGGAATGAGGGAGGGGAAGGCGGGATGAGGGAGAGGAATGAGGAATGAGGGAGGGGAAGGCGAGGTGAGGGAGAAAAATGAGGATTGACAGAGGAAAAGGGGGGTTTGTATGAAATAGAGTTGAATTGATTGATAAGGTAAAGAGCCCAAGGCTCTATAAATACATGGCAAGGTAAAGAAGAATGGATGAAGGGGGAATCGGAGGGAATCCCCATTGGGATCTCCGGAATCTCCAATCGGGTAATTGGAGATTGGGGGGATCACAATTGGGTGAGGTTGGGATTTGTGAGTACACCCGAACCCACTAGAACATTCCTAACCTAAACTAGGATATAAAAGTACAAATACAAAAGTGGAATTTGCAATCTATTACTAATACACCCCCATAGACTGCAAACCCGTTCAAGGAGCACAAAGCCCCATGGAACGATGAAGACGATGGTGTTCAGCCATGCCAAGAGCCTTGGTAAAGAGGTCGGCGAGGTTGCAATCTGAGGCGACGTACCATACCGTCAGCTGCTCACTTTGAACAAGATCTCGGATGAAGAAATGACGAAGTTCGATGTGCTTGGTGCGAGAGTGGAACACAGGATCCTTGGTGAAATGAATGGCACTCTGGTTGTCACACCACAGGGTGGGCGACTGCTGGGGGTAGCCTAACTCAGCGAGGAGAAAGGAGAGCCAGCGTGCCTCTTGAGCAGCCATTGTGCCCGCGTAGAGCTCGGCCTCGCAGGACGACAGGGAGACTGCAGAGGACCGAGTGGAGCGCCAGCTGATGACTCCGCTACCAAGGGTGAAGCAGTACCCTTGGGAGGAGCGTCTGCCAGTCTGGTCATCGGCCCATGAGGAGTCTGTGTATCCCTCGAGCTTGACTGGAGAGGTAGCACCAAGAGTGAGGATGTGAGACTTGGTGGCTTGTAGATAGCGGAGGACCCTCTTGGCTGCAGACCAATGCGAGGCAGTGTAGCGTCCAGGGGAGACGTACCGAGAGAGGACACTAACCGGGTATGCCAAGTCTGGTCGAGTGCACATCATGGCATACATGAGTGAACCGACTAGCTCAGGGTACGTGTCCTTGCAGGCAACAGGAGAAGGAACTGGAGGGGCCGTAAGCTGATGCTGTAGTGGGAGTGGAGTGGAGACAGAGTTACTGGAGTCCATGTCGAACCGCTTGAGAAGGTTGTCGATGTAGGACTCCTGGGAGAGGGTGATCGTGCAAGCCTGGCGGTCACGAGTGATCTCCATCCCCAGGTAGTTCTTGAGGTCACCAAGATCCTTCATGAGAAGGGCGGAGCTGAGAGCAGACTGGACAGCTGCCATGTCGGCTGGATCTCTGGCGGCTAGAATGAAGTCGTCGACGTAGACGAGGATGTAGAAGGGCTCGGAGGAGTGACGAACGAAGAGACTGGAATCTGAGGCAGAGGGATGGAAGTCAAGTGCGAAGAGGACTTCCTTCACCTTGTTGTGCCACTCACGAGGAGCCTGCTTGAGGCCATACACTGGGGGCTTCAGCTTCCACACTGTGTTGGCAGGGTAAGTGCCAGGAAACCCCAGTGGGCGTTCCATGTGAACATCCTCCTTGAGCTGGCCTTGGACAAAGACGGAGGAGGCGTCCATGGACTTGATCTCGAAGTTGCCGCGAGCGGCTATATCAAGACGAGCACGCACAGTCGGGAGCTTGGCCGTGGGCGAGAAGGTTTCGAAGAAGTCGAGATACTCCTTCTGGGTGAAACCCTTCGCCACGTATCGTGCCTTGAACAGTGGAGCTTCGCCTGGGAGTTGTTTGACTCGGAAGATCCATTTTCCGCCAACGATGTTGACACCGGAAGGGGGAACAACATCGTCAAAGCTGTTGTTGCGAATGAACGCCTCGTTCTCCACATCCATTGCTGCCTTCCACTGCTTCTTATAAGGCCCCGAAAGAGCTTCCTCTTTTGTGCGAGGAGTCGGAATGGTCGGGTTCTCGGTGAAGTTGAGGGAAGGGCAGTCAGTAATGTCCAGGAAGATGTGAGAGAGAAATTGGCAGACCGCGTGAAGGTCAAACAGCTTCTCCTGCCTGTCCTCCAGAAGTGCATGGGGGGGAATACGGATGGAGGGGACATCACCCCCGGCAGGAGGAGGCGGGGTGACCGAACACCGGATGGAGAAGGCGGCTGGTCCCCAAGCAAGAGGCGGAGCCGGTCCCTTGGAACGAGTGCGACTAGAGACCGGAGACGAAGGCGGCTGCGGTGGGACCGGAGGGACTGGGCACCTCCGATAGGAGACTGGTAAGCCGGGCTCGACGCGCGGGGAAGGCAGAGCAGGAGGAGGTGCCGCTGTGGAGGATACTGGGGAGGCCGGGTGAGACACCACGGACGGCGAAGGCCCCGGAGAAGGGGCAGCGGCCGGAGGTGGGGCATCGAAGTCTGCCCAAACAAGCGTCGGGGGAGGTGGAGGAGGCTCGCCCGTGGTCGCAGAGTGGAATGGGCGTGTCTCATCGAAGACGACATCACGGCTGCGAATCAGCTGTCTGGTTATTGGGTTGAGGAATAAGTAGTCTGTGGAGTCGGAGTTGTGCCCCAGGTACATGCAGGTCTGTGTTTTGGGACCAAGCTTGCCACCTTGCTTCCTGCGCGTGTGGGGGCTGAGCAACACATACGCGGTACACCCCCAGACGCGTAGAGAGCGGGCAGAAGGCGTAACCCCAAGCCAGAGAGCGTGACCCCAAGTGTGGGAAAGTTCATATGACCAAGGCGGTGGTGGATGAGAACAGCGGGGTGGGACAGTGCGCGACAAGAGCATCGGAAGGAGGTGGAGTTGGAGGAAGGTGGCTCTAGAGGGAGGGGAGGGGGGAGAGTGGAGGTGCCTGCACGAGTGGTCACGTGGCATGAGGAGGGGCGGGGTGTGCGGAGGATGTACTGACGAGAGCGAGGGCAAAGTGGGAGGCGATGAAGGAGGCGACGAGTGGTGCCGTGGAGAAGGTCACAGTACGTGGCAGAGGCGGGGAAGAGGGTAGTGATGCCAGCTTGTTGGAGTTCACGAATGGAGAGCAGGTTATGACGAAGGGAGGGAATGTGGAGACCAGTGACCACTCCAGAGGGGAAGGGGGGGCAGGGGAGGGTGGAGAGATGAGTGCAAGGGATGGAAAAGCTGGAATCAGCACTATGAACGTTGGTGGGGAAAGGGAGGGAGGTGAGGGTGCCGGCGTCTTTGAGGGCAGTTTCAGTGGCACCACTATCGAGAACAAAGTCAATCGTGAGCGAGGAGGGAGCTGAAGACACGGGGTACTGGAAATCACTAGCATTAAAAACAGAGGGATACATGGAAGTGGAAGCAGGGGAAGAACGCATGGAGGCGGCGGTGGTGGCGGGGTCGAGGGTGGCAGCAGTGGTGGTGGTGGAGGCAGTAGTGGCTCATCTGGTAGCCGTGGTGGCCGCCCTGGCACTCTCCCCCCATGTTCCTATCTTCGCCGTTTTGGTCCCAGGGCGGGTGAGCGCTGCACCCAAACCAACCATCCCCCCGCGACCTGCTTCAAGGCGTATGATGACGCCTGGTTCGAGCGCGGCAACACTGGCACACCCCCACGCTGGTCTGCCATGGATCCCCGCCCCTCTCTCCAGGATGTCAAAACTCTTCCGTCTTTCCTCCCCTCTCATCTTCAGCTCTCCTCCTCCTCCTCCTCCTCTGTCGCTGACCCCATAACTCCCCAGGAGCTGCAGCAGTTTCGCCGCTTCCAGCAGCTGCAGCTGCTGCAGCAGCAGCAGCAGTGGGGCTCTGGTGGTCAGGCTGCAGCCGCAGCTGCAGGAGCCGCAGCCGCAGCATCTGCATGGCAGCAGCAGCAGCTTGGCTTTGGCACCGCCGCCATGGCTGCCACAGCCACACCAGGTCCTCCTGGCTTTCCCCTCTGGGGCTCTCCTTCCCCTAGTGCTCCCACCTCCCACTCCAGCTTTCTAGGCGAGCTCATGCGTTCTTCCCCTGCTTCCACTTCCATGTATCCCTCTGTTTTTAATGCTAGTGATTTCCAGTACCCCGTGTCTTCAGCTCCCTCCTCGCTCACGATTGACTTTGTTCTCGATAGTGGTGCCACTGAAACTGCCCTCAAAGACGCCGGCACCCTCACCTCCCTCCCTTTCCCCACCAATGTTCATGGTGCTGATTCCAGCTTCTCCATCCCTTGCACTCATCTCTCCACCCTCCCCTGCCCCCCCTTCCCCTCTGGAGTGGTCACTGGTCTCCACATTCCCTCCCTTCGTCATAACCTGCTCTCCATTCGTGAACTCCAACAAGCTGGCATCACTACCCTCTTCCCCGCCTCTGCCACCTACTGTGACCTTCTCCACGGCACCACTCGTCGCCTCCTTCATCGCCTCCCACTTTGCCCTCGCTCTCGTCAGTACATCCTCCGCACACCCCGCCCCTCCTCATGCCACGTGACCACTCGTGCAGGCACCTCCACTCTCCCCCCTCCCCTCCCTCTAGAGCCACCTTCCTCCAACTCCACCTCCTTCCGATGCTCTTGTCGCGCACTGTCCCACCCCGCTGTTCTCATCCACCACCGCCTTGGTCATATGAACTTTCCCACACTTTGTAAAGCCGTCTCCTCCCGCCTGCTTGACGGTCTTCCCCCCACTCTTCCTCCCCTCCCGTCCTCTTCCGCTCCCCCATGCGCCACATGCATTCATGGAAAGCTCAAACAACAGCCTCACCTCAGTCATCCTTCCTTTGCTGCTGCCCCCCTTGACCTCGTCCACATGGACCTCTGGGGCCCTAACCCTTCCCCTTCCCGCCAAGGGCACCGGTACATGCTTGTCCTAGTCGACGACCACAGCAGGTACTCCTCGGTGTTCCTCCTCCACACGAAGGCCGAGGCCCCTGCTGTCATCGTTACCTGGGCGGAGCAGTGCCGAGTCGACTTTGGTCGCCCCATCCGCCGCCTCCATTCCGACGGCGGTGGTGAGTTTCTCAACCGCACCCTCTCCTCCTACTGCTCAACCCATGGCATCCAGCAGACTCATACCCTTCCCCACTCCCCTCAGCAGAACGGTGTTGCTGAGAGTCGCATTCGTGAGATCACCAAGACGGCCCGCTGCCTCCTCACTCATGCCTCCACGCCCCCTTCTCTTTGGGGCTATGCCCTTGTCCATGCTGCTCTCCTTACTAATCTTTACTCACATCCTCAACGCCAGTCTGTCACTCCCACTGAGCTCTGGGCTAGCACCAAGCCAGATGCTGCCATTCTCCGTATCTGGGGTTGCAAGGCATATGTCCTCATCCCCCCACCTGACCGCTCTTTGCAGGCAGGAAAGCTCGCCTCTAAGACCATTGAGTGTGTCTACCTTGGCCACGCTCGCTCTGCCCCTGGTTACCTCTTCCTTCACCCGTCCTCGGCCGCCTCCTACAGAGCCGTGACGTGGTGTTCGATGAGAGCATCCCGTTCTATCATTCTGTTCCACCTTCCGACCCCCTTCCTCCTCTCTCCCGCCCCCTCACTTGGGCTGATGCTGTCATTCCCCCACTCCTTCCCCAGGCTCCCCTCCTTCCTCCAAATCCTGCTCCTCCCCCTCCTCCTTCCTCAGGTGACATTTACGACCCAGCTGTCCCTGACTCCCCTGCTCACTCTGCCTCATCGCACCAGCACCAGCAGCAGCAGCAGCAGCAGCAGCAGCAGCAGCAGCAGCAGCAGCAACAGCAGTAGGAGGTGCAGCAGCGGATGGAGCAGCAGCAGCAGCAACCGCAGGCAGTGCAGCAACAGCAGCCGCAGCAGGAGGCGCAGCAGGAGGCGCAGCAGGAGGTGCAGCAGCAGCACCAGCAGCAGCCACAGCAGCAGCAGCAGCAGCAGCAGCAGCAGCCACAGCAGCAGCAGCAGCAGCAGCAGCAGCCACTGCAGCAACCTCATCGGCATCGCCGCACCACCTCTCCGTTCATCCTCCCACGCATCCACACTCGCTCTCACGGCCCACTCATAGGCCATCCATGGGGTTGGCCAACACCACCCCCACCCTCCCTTCCCTTCATTGAGGACTCCCATGAGGAGCTCATTGGCGTTCAGCAACAAACACCTTCCCTCACGCCTCTCTACCCGGGCTTCCTTGGCCTCCTCATCCTTGGCATCGCTACCGCTCCCACCAGATTCACTCCGTCCAACTTCCTTGAGGCCATCACCTGCCCCGATGCTGCCAAATGGATCCAGGCTATCTTTGCTGAATGCGAGGCCTTCATCCGCAATGCCTCATTCGTTAACATTGTCCCCTCTCCTGACGACGTCATTGTTGAAGGCCTGTGGGTGTTCCGAGTGAAGCAGCTGCCGGGTGAGGAGCCGGTCTACAAGGCCCGGTATTGTGCCAAGGGCTTCACCCAAACCCATGGCATCGACTACTGGGAGACATTCTCTCCCACTGCCAAGCTCCCCACTCTCCGTGCCATCCTCGACTATGCTGTTCGCATTGGCATAGAGATTGCCTCCATGGATGTCTCCAACGCCTTCCTGCAAGGCGAGCTCCAGGAGCGGGTCCTCTTGCGGCGGCCTCCAGGCTTTCATGCAGCCTTCCCTGCCAACACAGTCTGGGAGCTGCGCCGCCCGGTTTATGGCCTCAAGCAGGCTCCTCGCGAGTGGCACAACAAGCTGGCCGCCACTCTGCAGTCCCTGGGGTTCCATGCCTCTCAGTCTGATGCCAGCCTTTTCCTTCGCTCCTCTCCCACCCGCTTCTTCATCCTGGTGTATATCGACGACATGATCCTGTTCGCTGACGATGCTGCCGCCATGCAGCAAGTGAAGGACGCCCTGCATGCGCGCCTCAAGTGCAAGGACCTGGGTGAGCTCAAGCACTATCTGGGCATGACCATCACCCGGGACTGCACATCGCGCACCATTACCCTCTCTCAGTCCTTCTACATCGACCAAGTCTTGCAGCGGTTCGACATGGCGCAGGCCAAGCCGGTTACCACTCCCCTGCAGACCGACCACCAGCTTGCCCCTCCTCCTGCTCCCTCCTCTGACCATCCTTACGCTGAGCTCGTCGGCTTGCTGATGTACGCTATGATGTGCACCCGCCCCGACCTTGCCTACCCCATCAGTGTTCTTGCTCGATTCGTCGGTACCGGTCGCCACACTGATGAGCACTGGGCTGCAGCGAAGCGGGTCCTCCGCTACCTCCGTGGTACCAAGGACTATGTCCTCACCCTCGGAGGCTCTTCTCCTCCCCTCCTCTCTGGCTTCAGTGACTCCTCCTGGGCTGACTCCCAGCCGGATCGCCGTTCCTCTCAAGGCTACGGCTTCACCCTTGGCAGCGGCCTCATCAGCTGGCGCTCCACTCGCTCCTCCTCCATCGCCCTCTCATCCTGCGAGGCTGAGCTCTATGCTTGCACCATGGCCGCTCAGGAGGCTCGCTGGCTCACCTTCCTCCTTGCTGAGATCGGTGCTCCTCAGCGCTGTCCCACCCTCTGGTGCGACAACGCCAGCACCATCCATCTCACAAAGGACCCTGTCTTCCATGGCCGCTCCAAGCACATTGAACTCCGCTACTTCTTCGTTCGAGAGTTGGTCCAGCAAGGTCACTTGGTGGTCCGCAAGATCGCTGCAGAGGCCAACTTGGCCGACATCTTCACCAAGGCCCTCCCGAAGACCGCGCACTCTGCCCTCCTCCGCCTTCTCGGCCTTGGGCCCCGCCCCCCTTCCTGATTCTGGGGTTGTATCCTGCATATACACTAGCGTTGCATGCTATGGGGTTGTGTTAGAATATACCATGCTATGCTAGTTGTGTATATTGTGTTTACATCCCTAGTTGGGTGTACACCTGTGTTGGGGTGTCAATCCAACCCAATTGTGGTTGGAGCCCCCAAACACAAGGACCACAATTGTGGGGGCACCACAAGTGGGTTGGCTAAACCACTGGTGGTACACCACACTTGGACCACCTCAAACTGGTGGTCAACCACATTTGGAAGGATCCTCCCTCCCTTGTGATTGGTCCTAACCCCCCTTTCCCTTCCAACCTTCCCTTCCTAGCTCATCCCTCTCTTCCTATGTAATGCCTTTGCTTCATCAATAAACTGAACCTTTCTGTTTCTAACAAAGTATTCCTTGAAGAGCGGTCCGACAGCATCGAAGTCGGTGCGTTCGAACATTGCCTCAAGCTCGAGGCAGATCTGGCGGGAGCCGATGCGACGTGCCTGGAAATTGCGCATGAGCGCGGACGGGATGGCAAGGAGAAGGGCACCAGTAGCACGGCTGTGCGCCTCGAGCCAGGTGCGACGACGCTCAGCAAATCGCGCAGAGTCAGCGGCATAAGCGGCGGCGGTAGCGGCATGCCGGGTGCGGAGGGTTGCCGACCGCTCGTGTTCCTCCAACGCGATCAGGTAATCAATATGGAGCACGAGGAACTCACGACGCTGAGTAAGGAAGAGCTGCTCAACTTCAGCGGTGGCAGCGCGAGTGCTGGTGCCAACGGGTACCATGGGGGGCAGAGGTTCCTCGCCGGGATGGGGAATGAGAGGGGGGGGATCGCCAGGGTGAGGCGGCGGGTCCCCAAGGTCACCCTCTGGGAGACCAAGCATGATGTCCAGGAGGCGGAACGGCAGGACATAAGCACTGTCGAGGACGCGGTGGAGGCTGCCGACGAAGGAATACCAGTTGGTTGCTGAGTTGTCGGCAGCGCGCACGAGATGATCGAGGGTCGAGACGTCGATGGAAGGGGGAAAGGATGCCATTGGTGACACGGAATGGGAGGAAGGCGACGGCGGGTGGACCCGCGGTGGCCGGGAGGGAGCGGCGGCGGGTGGACCCGCGGCGGCTCAAAGAGGAGGGGAGGATGGGGATGGCTGTAGATACTGCTGCTGCTGCTGCTGCTGCTGCTGCTGCTGCTGCTGCTGCTGCTGCTGCTGCTGCTGCTGCTCCTTCTGCTGCTGCTGCTGCTGCTGCTGTTGCTGTTGCTGCTGCTGCCGCTGCTGCTGCTGCCACTGCTGCTGCTGCCGCTGTTGCTGCTGCTACTGCTGCTGCTGCTGCTGCTGAGTCTGCTGCTCCTTCTGGTGCTGCTGCTGCTTCTGCTGCTGCTGCTACGGCTGCAGCAGTGGTAAGGCGGCGATGAGCAGGTGCAGGTGAGGAGGCAAAAGATGGGGAAAGATGGCAGTTAGCTGATGAAAATAGGACTTGGTAGAAATTTCAGTAGCACTTCGTGATCACATCCAGGAAAGTGTGCAAGCTTCGGAAAGCGATATCTGACAATCCAAGCGATGAAACAGTCCGAAATTTTGCGATATTGTAGCTGACACCAAGAGCGTTCTTTTGCAAGTCGAATCACTCAATTCTGTCAACTATCAAGCGAGCTATGGCGTTTGGCGCATTGGGGGTTGTTGAAAATCCACCCAACAGAAAACTAGTTGAGAGGCGGCAGCTAGGAGTCTAGCAGCGGCGATGGAGGGGACGGCAATGAGGTGCACGTCGGAAGGGGACGGGGCGGAAGCATGGGAAAAGATCGGGATTTAACAGTTGGCGTCAGCCATTACTGCTCTATACCATGTTAGAAACAGAAAGGTTCAGTTTATTGATGAAGCAAAGGCATTACATAGGAAGAGAGGGATGAGCTAGGAAGGGAAGGTTGGAAGGGAAAGGGGGGTTAGGACCAATCACAAGGGAGGGAGGATCCTTCCAAATGTGGTTGACCACCAGTTGGAGGTGGTCCAAATGTGGTGTACCACAAGTGGTTTAGCCAACCCACTTGTGGTGCCCCCACAATTGTGGTCCTTGTGTTTGGGGGCTCCAACCACAATTGGGTTGGATTGACACCCCAACACAGGTGTACACCCAACTAGGGATGTAAACACAATATACACAACTAGCATAGCATGGTATATTCTAACAAGAAGAAGTTTCTTGGAAGCGATGTCGGCAAGTGTACGGAAGTTGGGGTGACCCAAGCGATGGTGGTAGAGGATGGTTGGGTTGGCAAAGCTGCGACACGAACACGGAGTGGTGCTGGCAGCTTGCGCTTGGGAGAGGGCGGCGAGAGGTGCAGGTGAACGCAGCGTGTAGAGCTTGCTGCTGTTGAGTGTGAAGCGTGCTAGGAGCTTGTTGGACTTAGGGTCGAAGAGGTCACAGTGATCCGAGTGTGCTGGGAAGATCGTGGTGACGCCTGCCCGTTGGAGCTTGTGTTGGGCCACGAGATTGTGGCCTAGAGTGGGAACACACATGCTAGTCACACTGCCCGAAGGAAAAGCTGGGCACGGAACTGTGGAGGAGCCCTTGGCGTGTGTTGTGAAACTGGAGTCTGCTCCAAGTAGACGGATTGGTGTCTCGTATGGCTTGAAGGAGTGTTCTTCCTTGAGAACCGTGTGAGATGCCCCACTGTCGAGGGTGAACTCTATTGTGGCTGAGGTGCTTTGTGAGCCAGGATACTACGAAATCATCTCATTAATCATGGCATTGCCAGGGAACAACATGTTGAGGCGCACATCAGCAGGTGCAGCCACAGCAGCCTGGACGGATTCCTGCGCTTCGACTTGATTGAATTGGCGAGGAGCACGATTGACCATCCAGCTTGGCGGCTTCGAGGCGCCTCCGATAGGAGACTGGTGAGCCGGGCTCGACGCTCGGGGAAGGCGGAGCAGGAGGAGGTGCCGCTGCGGAGGATACTGGGGAGGCCGGGTGAGACACGCCGGACGGAGAAGGCCCCGGAGAAGGGGCAGCGGCCGGAGGTGGGGCATCGAAGTCTGCCCAAACAAGCGTCGGGGGAGGTGGAGGAGGCTCGCCCGTGGTCGCAGAGTGGAATGGGCGTGTCTTATCGAAGACGACATCACGGTTGCGAATCAGCTGTCTGGTGATTGGGTTGAGGAATAAGTAGTCTGGGGAGTCGGAGTTGTGCCCCAGGTACATGCAGGTCTGTGTTTGGGGACCAAGCTTGCCACCTTGCTTCCTGCACGTGTGGGGGCTGAGCAACACATACGCGGTACACCCCCAGATGCGTAGAGAGCGGGCGGAAGGCGTGACCCCAAGCTAGAGAGCGGTAGGTGTGGTGTCATCCTTCTTCTTGAAGCAGGAGGCAAGGGCGTGGTTGGTGCCGCCACACACCTGGCCAGCACGAGGGCCGCGCTTGATGACGTAGGGACACGGGGGGAAGCGGTTGCGCTGGAATGGCACCGAAGCGGTAAGGCTTGAGGCACGGGAGCGCGGATTGCATTGGCCTTGGCTTGAGCGCTGTTGTCCTTTTCGGCAGAAAGGAGCGCGGATGAGACCTTGGCAAATGTGAGGTCTGCAGGAGCAAGGCCCAAGAGCATCTTGCGTGTGACTTCGTATGCCGGAGTGAGGCCGACTAGGAGAGCGGCTGCAGGGGCTTGCTCGGGGAAGACTATCCCCAACTGTTTGAGTTCACCATGAATGGACTGCACCTTGGTGACATAGTCCGCTATGCCTGGCGAGTCCTCGAGCCGCACTTGGAACATGCTGGGGATGAGTATAGCAACTCCCACTGCAGTCCTGTTCAGGAAGCGATCTTCGAGGTAGAGCCAAATGGCGTTGGCAGACGGGTAGTTGTGGTAGGTTTCGACGAGTTCGGGAGGAGTGGTGCCCATGAAGACACTAATGACCGCACCATCGGCCTTCTCCCAATTCTTGTACTTGAGCAGTGCAGCAGCATAAACTGCTTCGGCGGCGGCATTAGCTGGATCGGCGGACCTCTCGGGTTTAGGAGGCTCTTTGTCGTCACTGTTGTTGAGAAGGATGTCGGTGAGCTCGAGCCCCTTCACCTCGCGACTGAGGAGGTGCTTGTCGACACCATAGCGCCAAGCCTTGTACTTGGAGCATGTACCGTCCGGCTCGAGACGAAGGAGCGGGATCGGGTTGGCGAGTGAAGTGGTTGAGTAAGCCATTGTCGGTGTGCAGCGCGGCACTTCTGGAAATTGGTCGACGAGAATTGCTGAAAATCACTCTGACGGCTTTATCAAAATGCCGCTAAGTAGGAAATCGCGTCGGCGAAAATTCGTTAAAACGCCGACTTGAAACTGAATCTGAGCCTATGTCTAACCCCGGACCCACACACCCCCCACACACCCCCAGGCCCTGTCCCGCAGCTACACAGCTCCGCAACCAGCTCCGCAACCAGCTCCGCAACCAGCTCCGCAACCAGCTCCGCTCCGCTTCAACCTGTGTACCTGCTCTTGCTTGACGCGAGATGTTCGTGGAGGCGATTTTGCGAGGGGAGTTCGCCTATTCTGGCGGGGTCTGAGGGGAAACTCGAGAACGAGATTTAAGAGATGGTCGAAATTGAGATTCGACCAAGGAGAACCGAGGAGGAAATCGACGATGAGAAGCGTGAAAGCTTCAGAGATGAGAAATTCAACGAGGTCGAGCGCGAAGGCGGTCGACGATGAGAGGCGCGACTGCAGAGTGGAGCACGTCGAAATTCCGACGACTCGAAACGAATATCGCGACGATGAAGTGCGTGTAACGCGGGCACGTTAAGATTAGGACCTTGATCCGCGTGTGCGGATAGGTCGCTTTGATACCATATAAGAAATAGAGTTGAAATGATTGATTAGGTAAGGAGCCCTAGGCTCTATAAGTACATGGCAAGGTAAAGGAGAATGGATGAAGGGGGAATTGGAGGGAATCCCCATTGGGATTTCCGGAATCTCCAATTGGGTAATTGGAGTTGGGGGGATCACAATTGGGTGAGGTTGGGATTTGTGAGTACACCCCAACCCACTAGAACATTCATAACCTAAACTAGGATATAAAAGTACAAATACAAAAGTGGGATTTGCAATCTATTTCCAACACGGGGAAGATGTAGGCAGCGAGAACTGCGCCGCGGGGCCACCAGAGTCAGCCAACTCCTCGATCGGGACAACCGACGGGAGGGGAGTGACGTGAGACACACCAGACGGAGCAGGAGGGGGAGGGAGAGGAGCAGGTGCTACCGGGGGAGTGGGAACCAGAAACAGGGGTGGGGAAACCGGGAGACCTCGGTGGGGAAAGCGACGGTAAAAGGAGACAAACTCGTCGAAAGTGACGTTACGCGGGTGAAGGAAGCGGTGAGACGGCGGGTGGTAAAAGTGCAAGTCAGAGGAGTCAAAGGGGAAACCAAGGAAGACACAGGGGACAGTGCGGGCAGTGAGCTTGTTCGTGCTAGAGGCACGAACGTGAGCAAGGCATCCCCACATGTGGAACGCAGACGCGTTACCAGGAGACCCGGTCCAGAGGAGGGGAAGGCGGGACGAGGGAGAGGAATCAGGAATGAGGAATGAGGGAGGGGAAGGCGGGATCAGGGAGAGGAGTGAGGATTGAGAGAGGGGAAGGCGGGATGAGGGAGAGGAATGAGGAATGAGGGAGGGGAAGGCGGAATGAGGGAGAGGAATAAGGAATGAGGGAGGGGAAGGCAGGATGAGGGAGAGGAGTAAGGATAGAGAGAGGGGAAGGCGGGGTGTGGGAGAGGAATAAGGAATGAGGGAGGGGAAGGCAGGATGAGGGAGAGGAAAGTAAAACGAGTGAGGGCAAGGTGGGATGAAGGAGAGGAATGAGGAATGAGGGAGGGGAAGGCGGAATGAGGGAGAGGAATAAGGAATGAGGGAGGGGAAGGCAGGATGAGGGAGAGGAGTGAGGATTGAGAGAGGGGAAGGCGGGGTGTGGGAGAGGAATAAGGAATAAGGTAGGGGAAGGCAGGAAGAGGGAGAGGAAAGTAGAACGAGTGAGGGGAAGGTGGGATGAGGGAGAGGAATAAGGAATGAGGGAGGGGAAGGCGGGATGAGGGAGAGGAGTGAGGATTGGCGGAGGGGCAGGCGGGATGAGAGAGAGGAATGAGGAATGAGGGAGGTGAAGGCGGGATGAGGGAGAGGAGTGAGGATTGAGAGAGGGGAAGACGGGATGAGGAGAGGAATGAGGAATGACGGAAGGGAAGGCGGGATGAGGGAGAGGAGTGAGGATTGAGAGAGGGGAAGGCTGGGTGAGGGAGAGGAATAAGGAATGAGGGAGGGGAAGGCGGAATGAGGGAGAGGAATGAGGAATGAGGGAGGGGAAGGCAGGATGAGGGAGAAGAGTGAGGATTGAGAGAGGGGAAGGCGGGGTGTGGGAGAGGAATAAGGAATGAGGGAGGGGAAGGCAGGATGAGGGAGAGGAAAGAGGAACGAGTGAGGGGAAGGCGTGATGAGGGAGAGGAATAAGGAATGAGGGAGGGGAAGGCGGGATGTGGGAGAGGAGTGAGGATTGAGAGAGGGGAAGGGCAGGGTGAGGGAGAGGAATAAGGAATGAGGGAGGGGAAGGCGGGATGAGGGAGAGGAATGAGGAATGAGGGAGGGGAAGGCGGGATGAGGGAGAGGAGTGAGGATTGGCGGAGGGGAAGGCGGGATGAGCCAGAGGAATGAGGAATGAGGGAGGGGAAGGCGGGATGAGGGGTAGAGTGAGGATTGAGAGAGGGGACGACGGGATGAGGGAGAGGAATGAGGAATGAGGGAGGGGAAGGCGGGATGAGGGAGAGGAGTGA